GCGGACAGTCGTGAAAAATGGATGATTCAATCTGTTTGTGGAACTGCTATTGACAACTTTGCAATGCTGCATTAGACACACAGCACAATGTGGTGGCAATACTGTGCAAAACACGGAGATCACTACAACCAATGTGTTAATGATATAATCGGTCACAATAGCATTTGTTCCATATGCAGCAATGGGCCGGTGGGAAAATTTTAAGCAGTATTTGTAAAGTATGAGAGTGCCCAGCTCCTGTCGAAGTTTTGAGGCATCAACTAAAGCAAGCTGCCTTCACAGAAAACCGACAGCCTTTAAAATCTCCAAAGACTTGAATACCCCAGACAGTGGCACCATTATGTTGCTCTGAACGGCTCCCAGCTGCTAAGAACATGCTTCATGACACAGGATTCACAGTTAAACACAGAAGGCCCTATTCAATGGCCAATCCTATTCACTTCCGGCGAGGTTACTCACTGTGCCAAACAGCTATGCTATGACACACTCGCTGACTGAAGTATTCAGAGTTTAAGGAGCTTCGTAAATTGTCAGTTTTTCCATGGAGGAAGCTCCCTTTAATCTTTATCCTACAATAGTGGTTTTCTTATTCTCAAAACAATCCCTTGCCTCCCCCATTGTCAAAATATAATCCCTGCAATTAAAAATAATTGGCTTTCTCCAAACACAAATCTCCCAGCTGTCAGTGGTTCTGCACAATAAACAAGGAGGTCATGGTCGAAAAAATTTTTTAAATTTTATTATCAAACAGGGACAGGCACCGTACTGATCCCTGTCAAACATTCTTTAAACCTTAAATCTAACTGTACAGGAAGCTGTTTGAACATGATTACACTATGATTCCTTTCTATACATTACAAGCTCAGATACTAGACACCAAAATATTGACTATTGTATTACTTACGCACCAAAACATTTCATTTAAATTCGATTTCTAACTGCAGGATCTTGTGCTCCTAGAGGTTTCCATCTAATACTTCATTAAATGAGGAATAAATCTCGGACTGGTAGTTCCAACCAGATTTGAGTGCAAGGCTGAGCTTCTGAGAAGTGCCATCTCTCATCTTCCTAACTGTCTAACAGACTGAACATGCCCCTGTATCAGCACGCTCCCACTCTAAGCCATTAGCCACCAGTCACTAGATTGAGAGCTGAATCAAATGTCAATTGCAAAATAAAAACGTGGATGCAGAAAATCTGTAAAGGTCTAACAAGTTAGCAGTCAGCCTCTGAAAGGGAGAATAAAGCAAGGAAGTGTAAAATGCTCGAAGTCTGAAACACACAGAAACAGAAATTGCTGGAGAAACTCAGCAGGTTCTGGCAGCATCTGTGGAGAGTGAAACAGAGTCAACGTTTCAAGTCCAGTGACCCTTCTTTAGAACTGAACAACCTACTGAGTTTCTTCAGTATCTTCTGTGTTTCTGAAAGAGAGAAGTTAAGTTAACATTTCAATGGGTGGCACGGTGGCTCAGTGATTAGCACTGCTACTTCACACCGCCATGGAGCTGGGTTTGATTCCACCCTTGGGCACTGAGTGGAGTTTTCATGTCCCCCCGTGTCTGCATGGATTTTTTCCCATAGTCCAATGCTGTACAGGCTAGGTGGATGAGCCATGGGGAATACAGGGTCACAGGGATAGGGTAGAGTGTGGGTCTGGGTGAGATGCTCTTTGGAGGGTCGATGTGGACTCAATGGGCCAAATGGCCTGCTTCCACACTGGAGGAGTTCTATGACTCAATGACTTCCATCAACTGCGCAGTTTGAGCGTTCTCTGTTTCGGAGACGAATCAGCCATTTCACATTCTACATGTTGCAAATTGAGCCAACGTGTTCATCATTAATCAGGGATCAAAGGCACGAGATCTTCGGTTAGATTAAAGCTGTGTCATTCTGTTTGTTTTATCAGTCTGCTTTTGTTTAAATCTTGATGAAGATGTTCAGGTTTTTGATAGTTTAAATTGATGAGGCCTGCAATTCCAAGGCGCCTGAACATTGACATTTCAGTGGAAGGTTGCTCTGAATATCCTGTAAGCTGCTTGCGATGGATCTGTATTTCCAAGTGAAAGCAGGTGTGAGAGCACTGTCAGACTGCCTGTACTCCATCAGCAAACGACTCAGCAAACCATCTGGTTTCCTGGTAGCTTTTATCTCATGCTTGGCTCTGCTATCACCTTCCATCTGTTGTTCCTCTGTCTCTGTCTCCAGGCCACTCCCAACTCTGCTACCTCGGGACTAATGTTCAATTACAGTTCTTGACTGCGTGAAGAATTGTCGGGTCCTGGTTCTGCACTCTCTCTTTGTTCCAGAATTAAACCAAGGTGAAGAGGAATTCAGCACATGGCATTGAAATGGTTTTAACTGTTTTGCAAACAGAGCAGGGAGTCAAATAAGAAAGATAGCAAGAACTGCCGATGCTGGAGTCGAGACAACAGTGTGGAGCTGGAGGAACACAGCAGGCCAGGCAGCATCAGAGGAGCAGAAAAGCTGACGTTTCAGGTTGGGATCCTTCCTTTGTTTCTGAAGAAGAAAACATCAACTTTCCTGCTCCTCTGATGCTGCCTGGCATGCTGTGGTCCTCCAGCTCAACACTGTGTTGTCCAGGTAGTCAAATAATATTGATTGGGCTGCTGAGACTCTGTTTCCTGTTGACTTCAGTTTTAACTGTGTTCACCTGATCAAATAGCAAAGGCCATCAATGCATTTTAAATAGTTAGATGATCTGGCTTGCCATTGGCTCCCAATTTATTGGTTACTTAAGGTCATTTTGCTGCTCATTTCAAGCTGTCCTTGAGAAGGTTGTGATGACATCTACCTATCACTGTTCCAAAGTGGAGTCATATCGGATTTGAAACACTAACTCAGTTCCCCTTTTCACAGGTGCCAATGGACCTATTGTGTTTCTCCACCATTCTCTGTCTATATTTCAGATTTCCAGCATCCACAGGATTTTGTTTTTAATCTGTCTATCACTTGCTGCTTATGCAAGTTTGGAGACAAGTCATCCAGTTTGGGGGCTTCACCGGGTTGGCACCTCATTTTTAAGTATGCTTGGTGCTGCTCCTGGCATGCCCTCCTGCATTCTCCATTGAACAAGGGCTGATGGTAATGGTTGACTGGGGGATATGCCATGAGGTTGCAGATTATGCTGGAGTACAGTTCCACTGCTGTTGATGGTCCACAGCATCTCATAGATGTCAGTTTTGAGTTGCTAGATCTGTTCAAAGTCTGTTGCATCTAGCACGGTGAGAATGCTACACAATACGATGTAAAATAATCTCAATATGATGATGGGATATGACCTTCATAAAGACGGTGCAGTGGTCACTCTAATTGATACTGTCGAAAAGCAATTTCGATGGGCAGATTTGTGAGGATGAAGTCAAGTAGCATTTTCCCTCACCACCTGCTGCACACCCAGTCTAACAGCTATGTCCCTTAGGGCCTGACCAGCTCGATCAGTAGCACTGCTGCTGAGCCACTTCTGATGGTGGACATTGAAATCCCCCACCCAGAGTACACCTTACGCCCCTGCCATCCTCAGTGCTTCCTCCAAGTGTTGTTCAACATTGAGGAATACTGATTCATCAGCTGAGGGACAATCAGCAGGAGGTTTCCTTGCCCATGTTTAACCTGAAGCCATGATACTTCATGAGGTCCGGCATCAATGTTGAGTACTCTCAGAGCAACACCCTCCCGACTGTATACCACTGCTGGGTAGCCACCTCTGCTGCGTTTGTCCTGCCAGTGGGACAGGAGATATCCAGGGATGGTGATGGTGGTGTCTGAAACGTTGCCTGTCAGATATGATTGTGTGAGTGTGACTATGTCAGGCTGTTTGACTAGTGTGTGAGACACCTCTCCCGATTTTGGTACGAGCTCCCAGATGTTAGTAAAGAGGACTTTGCAGTGTCGACAGGGCTGTTTCTGCGATCCTTGTTTTCAGTGCTTAGTGCAATGCCAGGTGATCCATCCAGTTTAATTCCTTTGAAACTTTTTTTAAGAGGTTTGATAAAACTGAATGGCTTGCTGATCCATTTCAGAGTGCAGTGGAGAGTTAACCACATTACTGCGTGCCTAGAGTCACATGTAGGCCAGACCAGGTGTCATTAGCCATCGCTCTGGATTACTGGTCCAGTGAAAATCCCACAATGCCATCACATCCTGGTGTTGGGTGCCTGGAGGTGGGGGTTTCGGATGGGAAGTTGGCCAGCTACCAGGCAGGAAGGGAGGGGCCAGTGGTTGCATTTGTTGGAGATAGGGGTGTAGCAAATGGGTTTTCGGGAGACTCAGCTCAGGTGTTTGTAGGGGGGGTGTCAGAGTTAGGGATTGTGGGGTGATTGGTGTGAATGTGAGAGGTCAGTTTCATTGTTAACCAGGATTTAGAGCAGGTTTATACTCCTCTAATATTTGCTGCTTAACCTAACTATTATGGTAGGTGAATCAGGACTCTCCAAAGTCTCTAACTCTAACTCAGTGGTTGAATTGTTTGCAGGGTTCTAAGTGCCAGGTGACAGTCCGTTGAAAGTTTAAATGTCACGGACGATTACTGTATGGTCAGTGCGGTGGGTGTTCCTAGAGGTCCCTTAGCGTATGTACCAGGTTACAGACAATCTCTGACTTTCTGGAGACTGATAGATCTGGGCCATTGTTTTAAGAAAACATGCATTGCAAGTTACACCTATTGGGCTACATGTCCACTCTGCACAAACATGGAGTATTCTGCTGTGGGTAGCAATGAGATTTGGACAGATACATGAATAGCAAGGTTTAGAGGTATATGGGCCAAACGCAGGCAAATGGGACTAGTTTAGTTTGGGAAACGTGGTCAGCATGGACGACTTGGACCAAAGGGTCTGTTTCTGTGTTGTATGACTCTATAAAGCGAACCTTCAGCAGTTGGCAGGTTTTCATTGTACCCATCAGGAAACAATGAGCTGCAACTACCGACTTTATGGTACAATGCGATCCCCTTTTCCCTGAGAGACTTTCTATTTGCCCACCTGCTCCAGTTTGCTCTGCAACTCCTTCATCTGCCATTCCCACTCTCGTCGCTCCCGGTCAAACCTGTCCAGCAGCTCCACCTTCTCGTGCTTCCAGTTCTTTTCCGAGTTTTGGAGTTGCCAGTGGAGATCCATCAGCTGACTGTGACTGTCGGCCAATAGTTTCCGGTGCTCATCCCTCTCCTGCTTGAACACTTCCTTGGGATCGACAGAACCTTTGCTGGTGGACTGCTTCCCGATCCTCTCTTCAAACTGCCAAAAACGTAACTTTCAGATATTGAAAACTGATCAATGTAAATACCGAATCATTTGCTCAATTTTAATGTCAAGAATTCAGAGTCGGAGAACTGTTACAGCGCAGAAGATGTGGACGGTGAGCAACAGTACTGAAGACAGCTACACTGTTCCATCCGGTCACACAGTTTACTAACACCCACGGGAGTGCTTTAACTCTTCACTGGGTATGGGTCTAGTGGGCAGGCAACCCACCAGGATGCCTCTGTGGGAACAATATAGCCTCTAGGAGCAGTATTGAACCCTCTGGGACTGATATCACCCCGTCTGGAAGCAATATCAGCCTCTATGGGGACAGTATGATACCTCTGGGGATGGTATTAGCCCCTCTCAGGGCAACAGCTCCTCTAGGAGCAGTTTCGGTCTCTCTGGGAGCAGTGTTAGCCGCTCCGGAGGCAGTTCTAACACCTTCTGCTCAGCTATCAACCCTTCTGGTACTAGCATCAGCACCCTCCGGGAATGGTATCGGCTCCCTCTGGGAATGGTATCAGCTCCCTCTGGGAATGGTATCAGCTCCCTCTGGGACTGTTATTGGTCCCCTTTGGGAATGGTATCAGCTCCCTCTGGGAATGGTATTGGCTCCCTCTGGGACCAGTGTTGGCTTGGTTCTATTAGCACATCAATCACCATCGTCCTGACTGACACAGTCAGGGGACGTGGTCACAAACCAAAGTCAAGGAAGGCCTGGGGTGCTCTTGTGGGACCCAAAGGAGTAATCCTCTTCCTCTCAGCTCACATCAAAACTTCGAATACATTTCTGAACCTTCTCTTTGCTGGCGATTTCTAACCCTGCTCCTGACTACCATCAGTGGGTGGAGAAAATCCCCAGCTCAGCCCTCCGATAAAATTCACAGCTGGGCTTTGGTGACCATCTAGTGGATGACTTCTAACTGCAGCCTGATATCTGGGTGGGTGGTGCTGGCTCACACTGAGTTCCCTACAAGCTGCTCAACGCAGATTGGCCTGTCTTTCCCTGCCCTCCCCCACCACCACCCCAGTCTGATTTCCACCCAGTGATACTTCTCTCTCATTGCCCATGATCACTCACAACAAATGGCAATGATCCTGAGAGCTGCTGGCATTCAGCCAAGCAGAGTTTCGACAGTGCAGGGAAGAAAGGAAGTGAATGAAGAACGAGCATATGTATCCTTGACATAAGGCCACTATCACACTCAGAGTCACAGGTTTGTCAACGTGCAGAATGAGGCCATTCAGTCTCTCATTTCTATGATGGCTCTCTAAATGAGCATTGTAACTAAGTGTCATTCTCAAGCCTTCCCCTGTAATCCTGCACATTGTTTCCATTCCCTCCTGAATTCTTCAATTAAACCTGCCTCCACCACATTTCCAGGCAGTGTGTTCCTTACCGTAACTATTTGCTGCCCTAAAAGCATCCTATTTGCTCCTACTGCAAATTATTTTAAATCTGTGGTCCCCCATTCTCAATTTTTTTATAAATAGTATCTCCCTATCTACTCTCATCATTTTGAAAACTTTTCAAACCTCCTCTTAGCTCTCTCTTTTTCAGGGAAAATAGTGCCAACTTCTCTGAGCTGATGAAATTTCTCATCCCCGGAACCAGTCTTCTCAATCCCGTCTGCACTCACTCTGATGCACTCACATCCTTCCTGACGTGTGCTGCTCAGAACTGAACACAATAAGTCTGACTGGAGTCTTGTACAAGTTCAGCTCAACCCCTTTGCTCTTGTACCTAATGGCTCTATTAATAAGGTATGGTCTGCTTTATTCACTGCTCTGTCCACTTCTGATGACGAATGCATATTTACCCCAAGGGCCCCCTGCTGCTACACATCCTTTACTGTAGTTTCCATATTGTCTCTCCATGCTTTTTATCCAAAACAATTCACCTCACAGTTCTCCGCAGTGAACTTAATCTGTCATCTATCTGCCCACTGTAGTGATTATAACAAGGTCAGCCAGGTGGACCTTATAGAATATAGGTTCCCTGATTGGGGATGTTAATCTGGTCCAATCAGGGAGCCCTGGCTGAGAGATATAAACAGGAGTGGCAGGGGTTCTGTTTACTCTGATTGCTGGCTCTGAGGGAGCTGGATCAGTGTCAAGGACTGTCTACATATCACTGAAGGGTGACTTGGTGATGGGATACCGGCCTCTGTGGTGTTATTTCACCCAAACTACCAACTTGTCAATGACCTTCTGAACTTATTTCCTGTTCCCCCTCATGGTTTACAGTGCTTCCGTACTGCAATAATGTTACCTGCTCCAGAGAAACTTCATGCTATACTCAGTAATGGTTTATAGTGACTCTTTTAAAGCTATGGCTGATGGACAATATTCTGTTGTATGTTATTTCTCCAGGGAAGATAGCAAGTGGTTGAAGCTAAATTGAGGAATGAGAGCTGTGTCCTTGAGCCTTTATCTTAATCCAGTTCTGGAGTTTGTCATTCCACTGTTTACAATACGAACAAGGTAAAATGTTGCCAGTTACCTGGGCAAGTTGACACTTTTGCTCGGCGTATTCCATTTCCCAAGCAGCTTTCTCATTAGCATACTGCTGCTGTAGCTGATTGCGATGTTTCTCCTCATCACCAAGCTCAGCACCAAACTCCTCCAAAACAGACTTCAGAGCTATCAGAATCCTTCGGTTTTCTCTGGCCTGTAAAATACGAGGAATCACATTGAAACTGCTGCGTGGGGATAGGTCATTTGGCCCAATTAGCCTACACTCGCGCCTGAACACATTTAAGTCAATTCTCAGCCTTACTGAGACCTACCAGCATATTCTGCTATTCCTTTGTCGAGCTCCTCCTTAAATGTGACTATGGTGCACTGTTTCACAAGTAGTTAGCTACTTGTAAGGTGAGTCATGGATTTTTATATCCCCATTTTCTCAGTTTTCAGTGCTCTCAATTTTACATCATTTTTCTTGTGAAGGTGCTGACTTTTGCTGGGCCTCCATTTCGTGGATAATTTAAAGCTCTATGTGACCCTTTTGTAAGGGATGAAGGCTTTTTAATCAGAGATTATTGTATTCAAGCTCTGACCCCGTCCCAACCCTAACACCTTCCCAGCAGAATCACGACAATTGGGAGTAGGATAATGAGGACACATTCCCCTCTCTTACACAGACGTACAAATGCTTCACTACTGTAACTATGGAGCAGTTATAACATGAAAACCTACAGTAATCCTGGTTTTGCAAAGTACATGATTTCCCCTTTCTTTAAGTGTCATTCTTTTGTCTCAAAAATCCAATCCAAAAGCCTAAATCAACTAAAGGCATTTCATTGTCATTTAATACAGTGCTATACTGACTGTAAATCACTCCATTCTGTGTAGCCTTGGTAACAGTCACAAGAAGGTTTGGAGCTTTGTTGAAGATACAGCTCAAGGTCAGATTTAGCCGTGATCATTTAAACAGTAAGACTCAACCAAACCTATCCACCCTCTGAACTGCAAATAGCAACTCATAGGCAAGGAATAGAGGGCTTCCCATCTTCATAACACATAGCTCACAATGAGTTAGCAGAAAATTAATAAAAGAACCTTAAAGGCACAGAGCTTATCTGTTGGGATGAGTGGAGGAGTAAAGCTCTTATACTGGAATTTATGAAAGTTTGCATTTATGAAGTATATAGCTAAGTACAAGGAAGACAATGACATAGTGGTACTGCCACTAGACTAATAATCTAGACTATGTGTTCTGGGGTCATATGTTCAAATCCCACCAAGGCAGCTAGTGGAATTTAAACTTAGATAAATAAATTCTGGGACTGAAAACTAGTCTCAGGAATAGTGCCAAAGGAAACTATCATCAATTGTTGTAAAACCCATTGGGTCACTAATGTTCCATTAATGGGAAGGAAGGAAATCTGCCATGATTATTGGTTGACATGGATGATCCAGCAGGTAATTCCTGACCAACAGATACGCAATCGTTTCTCTATTGCTCTGTGAAATGGCTCTAGTCTAGCAAGTCACTTAGTTCAAGAGGCAACTCAAACAGTGAAAGGCTAAAGAAAAGAAACAAATAACTTTTGTACAATCACAATATCACAAGCATTTTGCAAATATTAAAATTTCACTTTTCTAAATTCATGATGTGGAGGTGCTGGTGTTGGAGTGGGATGGAGAAGGCCAGAAGTCACATGACACTAGGTTATAGTTCAACAGGTTTATTTAAAATCACAAGCTTACGAAGCGCTGTCCCTTTGTCCCTGATGAAAGAGCCGTGCTCTGAAAGCTTGTGTTTTCCAAAAAACCTGTTGGACTATAACCTGGTGTCGTGTGACTTCTGACCTTTTCTAAATTCATTCATTGGGTGTTAGCGTTGCTGCCAAGGCCTGCATTTCTTGCACATTCCACTACCCTTGATCAGGTGGTGATGAGTTACCCGCAACTGAATGTCTTGCTCAACCATTTCAGAGGGCAATTAAGAGTTAACAACATTGTTGTTGGTTTGGAGTCACATGTAGGCCAGACCAAGCATGAACAACAGATTTTCTTCTGTAAAGGATGTGGTGAACAAAATGGGTTTTTATGACATTCCAAATAATTTTGTGATCGTTATTACTAACACTACAATTTTATTTCAGAGTTTATTACTGAATTAAATTTGCATTTTATAGCTGGTGGTGTGGATTGGAATCCATGTCAGTGAAGCATTAGTCCTGGCTTCTGGAATTCGAGCCCAATAATATTCCGGTGTCTTCAGTACCAGTGAAATAAGTGCTATCATTATAGAATTATTAATGCTTGATGTTTTCCATAGCCTATCACTATCACAGAGTGGAGGGTGGGGCTGTGGATGTAGGTTCACAGTCTGATTGACAATTCCAAGAGATTGTGAAAGGAGTAATTGACTTTGAAGTGGGACTATAAATAGAATTATTTATTTTCTCAGGGATTAAGTACTTGCACATTGTTAAATGTATTGAGAAGGCTTTCACGAATGAATTTTCAAACATAGTGAACAGAGAAGCTTATTTTATTTTATCTCAACATAGTTTCAGAGGTCCATTCCTGGTGGATATGCGTGAATTGACATAGAAAGTGTGGTGGGTTGGCATGAGTTGGCACCTGGTTCCATTGAAGCTATAAAGGACATAGGGATGAATGGGAGGGGAGGCATAGGTTTACATACGCAGATTGAAGAATAATTAGGGAGGTGTAGAGGGGGTTTGAGTGGAAAGCATGGGTTGCTTTGAGGGGAGATAGGGTTTGGGTAAATTGGAGGTATGAGGGCCACTGGGCAATGCTTAGGGGACACATGTTGGCAGGGGCTCATATGAATGGCAGACAAAGCATGGGGAGTTGGGGAGAGTGAGTGATTGGTAAAGCTGAGGGGGACTAATATTTAGCAACACAATGAGAATGAAGTCCCAGATAACTGAGGCTGCCCTTATAACCGACCCACGTTGGCCCATGGCAGCCCCATGTACTATGGGTAGTAAATATGACATAAAAGATGTGGGATAGAGTTGAGCCAGCCATGTTTGATTTGTGCCCGAGGGGTGGCTGGCTCAACTCTATCCTACACCTTTTGTGTCATATTTACTACTCATAGTACATGGGGATGTTTGGGTTTGTCAGGCTGGACAAGTTCTTCAACTGGGCTCCTGGTCTTTCAGAAAATACAGCCGTGTCTTGGGGTAACGTTTGAATCCACAATTTACCAACTCGGAAATGAACAAAGAAATGGAGTTTGTTGGCAGGGGAGATTCTCACTTTGACTGAATGAACCATTAAAATTACTGATGCGTTCTCGGGGACTCCTGAGCTAATTATTAAAAGAAAACTGTCTCCTCAACAGAGTAAGAAACATTGTCATCGTTGTGGAAATGTTTCTCTTTGCCCCTGTAAAACGATGTGTCAAATTAATGGAGCAGACGAATCTTCCCATTCTGAAGGGTATCTTGCTCACTTGCTGAAAAGGTGGCGAGGAACTTCAGCTGGCTCTTCAGGGGAAGGCCCATTGCATCTTCACACAGTCCAGAGGGCACAGTCCAGAGGGCAGTGCAGAGAGCACAGTCCAGAGGGCAGTGCAGAGGGCACAGTCCAGAGGGCAGTGTAGAGAGCACAGACCAGAGGGCAGTGCAGAAAGCACAATCCAGAGGGCAGTGCAGAGAGCACAGTCCAGAGGGCAGTGTCGAGGGCCCAGACCAGAGGGCAGTGCAGAGGGCAGTGCAGAGGGCAGAGTCCAGAGGGCAGTGCAGAGGGCCCAGACCAGAGGGCAGTGCAGAGGGCCCAGACCAGAGGGTAGTGCAGACAGCACAGACCAGAGGGCAATGCAGAGGGCACAGACCAGAGGGCAGTGCAGAGGGC